CAATAAGAAAAGCTAAAGACAGAGATGCTCTTCTGCTCCTGTCACATTTAGACTCAAAACCACAAGGCTGTAACGGACACCTGTTAGACTGATGCTCCCTTCTCCTGGAATGACCCTTAAAACATAGGGCTCCAGTGGTCCTGATAGTATAGTGATGCTCTGATCCCCCAGCCACAGATGGTTGAGCTGGTGGTGGACTCCTTCCCTGAGCTAGCCCTATCAGCTTCTCTCCTCCAATGTAATATTTTCAGAGGAAAATTCTTTGCTTATTTCCTCTGAAAATATTACATTGGAGGAGAGAAAGCCTGCCAACGTTGGCAGCAGACGTGACTAAAACCTCTAAACTTGCTCATTTGATTATTCTGTCAAATGTGTGAGACACCTGATGTCCTTATAACAGTACCCACTTCCCTGTTACCTTTTGGTAACTTAGGCTGAGATGGCTCCTGGAGTTTGCTGAGCTAATCCAAAGGGAAACTTAAGAGCAAATTTTTAGAAATCAGACTATTTTTTAAGCATAAATTTCACATTAGAAGGAAAAGCTGTGTTTTCAAACAATGCAATAAATCACTAAATGTTTTTATACTTTAAGTGTATAGTACCAGCAATAAAATCTGTAGAAAATAAAAGTTTTTATTTTATTTCAGAATATTTTAGGAAAATTCATTTAAAAATATTTTACTATTTAATAACTATTTCTTGAATTAAAAATATTTTCAATAAAATGTGCTCAGGATTAGATTAATGGCATAACAGACATTTATGATTTTGACTTTTCCAATCCAAGAATAACTGTGCATTTTCATCGATTCAAGTCTTTTTGGAGGGATGTGTCCCTTAAATATTTTCCTAGGTCTTAAACATTTTGCATTTATTGCTGTCATAAATAAGATCATTTCCCCCATTATATTTTTTAACTGCATATATGAAAGATACTGATTTTTTCCATTAAGATTTTTTTTTTTAAGTAATTTCCACACCCAATGTGGCACTCAAACTTACCCCGAGATCATGAGTCACATGCTCTACCGACTGAGCCAGCCAGGCGCCCTGGAAGCTATTGTTTTATTTTTTTTTTTAATTTTTTTTTTCAACGTTTATTTATTTTTGGGACAGAGAGAGACAGAGCATGGACGGGGGAGGGGCAGAGAGAGAGGGAGACACAGAATCGGAAACAGGCTCCAGGCTCCGAGCCATCAGCCCAGAGCCCGACACGGGGCTCGAACTCACGGACCGCGAGATCGTGACCTGGCTGAAGTCGGACTGGAAGCTATTGTTTTAAATATTGTTTTGTACTCAGCTCTCTTACTGAATTGTCTTATTTTTCTAATAGTTTTTCCAATTGAGGGAGAGAGGAAGAGCAGGGGAGGGGTAGTGAAAGAGAGGGAGACAGAGAATCCCAAGCAGGCTCCATACTGTCACTGCAGAACCTGACACAGTGCTGGAACTCACAAACCATGAAATCATGACCTGAGTTGAAACCAAGAACTGGGTGCTTAACTGACCGAGCCACCCAGGCGGCCCTCAAAGAGCATCTTGTAATTTAATGTCAGAAATAACTTTTATATAACCTGGATAAAATGTGGCATTAACTTACCTAAATATATTGGAGAATAATTCATTTTCATAAAATTTACAATGAACAGAAATACAGACTGTCCTGACACAAGCAATTCTCTGCCTTACACACAGAAGAGGGCTAAGATTAAATTAATTGTTGTTGTGATAGTAGCATTTTTTCAGGAGTGAGCACATAATATACACATCCAGAGACACACAATTTCCTACTCTACAGACTCAATACCTGCAACTCACATCAAAATTAAGGTCTCAGTGCCTTCCATCCCCACATGTAAGTGTCTAAATCTTAATACCTCACTTATTCAATCTTTCAACAAATTTTGAAGGCCTACCAATTGCAAGTTATCCAGATACTGGGTGTATGATGTGGATATCACACTATACTCACCCCATACGTCTATTGGGGAACACAGATAATTAAACAAATATTACCATCAAACATGGTAGTATATGAACTCAGCTAAGAAAACTGGAAATGTCACATTGCTGTTTTTTCTGTGTCAGCATAAACACTGACACATTTTTGCAAAATAGAAACACACAAAAAAGTAAATTATGAGTCATTATCATGTTTAATTTGACACTTGTTTTTGTGACGTGGGCTGGGACTTCACAAAGTAGAAGGAGAAATTATGATAAGTAACACTTCCCTTCTCTCTCTCTCTCTCTCTCTCTCTCTCTCTGTCTCTCTGTCACATGCACACATCCCTCACTAAGATATTTCTAACTGACAGTGCAGCTTCATTATGTCCCAGGCCTTTCCAGGCATTAACTGGAAGAATAGCTCCCTCACTGTCTCCTGTGGTCCCAGAAGCCTTCCTCTTAACTCTGTTACCAGAAATCACTTGCTAACACTACCTTGGCATTTGGGCTCATTCTTAGCATTGCAATAAACAAAGATCAAACTCCTGAAGAAATGTCCAAGTATTCTTTTTTTTTTTTTAATTTTTTTTTTCAATGTTTATTTATTTTTGGGACAGAGAGAGACAGAGCATGAACGGGGGAGGGTCAGAGAGAGAGAGGGAGACACAGAATCGGAAAACAGGCTCCAGGCTCTGAGCCATCAGCCCAGAGCCCGACGCGGGGCTCCAACTCAAGGACCGCGAGATCGTGACCTGGCTGAAGTCGGACGCCTAACCGACTGCGCCACCCAGGCGCCCCCCAAGTATTCTTTTTAATTGGTTCTGATGTTAGAAATTCAAAAACACATGATAATTTCCACCATTCCTCCCTTTTGAATTAGTGAAGAATTACACATCTGAAATTCATGGGGCAAAGGACATTTTGAGTCAAACAAGGCTAAAGAATATTGCATGGAAAGAAAGTAGTGTCTGAAAGAGAGATTACATATTTAACCTTCTAAACTGAGAGAAGCAAGAAGAAATACTATCCATCTTTTTAGGAGTATAAAAACCAGAAAACACTTCCAATGAAAAATATGATGAAAATGACACTGCAATCCATATTCATGTGACCTCCTATCACTTACTCAAGGGCAAAGGACACAGTATTTGAAAGAGAATAAAGGTATCTTGTATATTGGTGAGTTTAAGAAAAAAAAAAAAAAAAGATCAGTTAGTAAAGAGAGGCCTTCCGTAAAATCTGTACTATTGGTTTTACAAAGACTTCATATTTACATTAATACATCACTCAGAATAATTTAGGTGGTAAACCCTTCTATCCTTATAAAGATAAGGGAAAATTCTTATTAGAGAAAAATGCTCCTATCATTATGAAGAGCAGCAGTGACCCCTACTGCTCAAATAAGGCATCTCTGGGTGTCCACCAGGACAGATTCTTAACCTTTCATGGGTTTTAAATCCTTTTATGAATCCAAAGAAATCTATAGATCTTTCACCAGAAAAAAAAATCAGGTTTTATATAAATATAAAATTTATATACAACATACGTAATTCATAGATCCATGAGCTACATAAGGGGGTCACTGGGCTCTATTTATCTATCTAAAACTTTTAAGTGGATAATATAATTCTATAGATTCAAGAGAGCCTTTTAAAAGGAGAATAATCTAGTGCAATTTACCTCAATTATTACAATATTTTTAAGACCTTGGGCTTATAAAAATTTTCTAGGATGATTAACATGTTAATAGACCCAACTAGACAGTTATTATATTGCCATAGTTATATTAGAATCTTGTTTGTATCTCTATAATTTTACTGCCTTTTAAAATCATACTCTTTTGTATATCTATTGCCATCTATAGGGAAGTTATAATCTGATATAGCTTCCCAAGTACATATATATTTCTTTGCAAGGCCTACCACTAGTGGACACTGTTACAGAAAATCAGTTCATAGGCCAAACTGCTACTCAAATTCAAAGATGACTTTATTTTCAAGCAGGAACATGATCTTAATGTTTTTAATGAATAAAAAAATCACTTTCTTTTTTTAATCAGTGAATTTCTAGTGAGATTATCATTTCACATCGCTATACTTTTTATAAGATTATTTTTTCCCCTCTCAAAAGCATATGCGGGGTGCTTTGGGGACAAGATTAGTGGAACTGAGTAGGTTAAGGAGCAAGCAGGACCAGTGAAAGACTGGTCTATTCAAGTTTACGAATGCCTACCTCCATCAAGGTTTCTTTTTACGCAGAAAAGTAATTGGGCAGGATTAATCGAAAATTGCATTTTACCTGGGTGAAAAAACAAAATCTCAATACTTGGGCACCAGGCTGTGTATAAATAAAAGTGGCTCAAGTCTTCTATTGCATCCTTTTTTCCACCAGCTTTGAAAGCTGTACCCCGGCATTGTTGATGCACATTAATTAGCAGACAAGAATTATGCAGTTTTGAGAGATTAAACAACATCTATGCAGCGTAAAGTAAGTTTGGGGTTTTGCCATATGTTAAAAATCTTTTGCAAAATTTCTCAAATTGAAACAATTCCGCAATATTGACTCAACAAGTGCTCACTGGACACTGTAAGTGGGATTGCTTTTCGGAGTTAAGGCTACAAAGGCGTCTGAATGCTTCCAGACAAAATTAGCCAAGTAGCGGAAGCAGGCGACATAAATTGCGGGGGCGACCCCCAAAGAGTTTTAGCGCTGACCGGGGTTTGCTCTCTCCAGATCCTCCCCAGAGCTGATTACTTAGATTCGCTGATAAAAAGGATTAAGCTTCCGGGAAATACAACGCAAACAGCCACACCCTAAACCAAAATATTTAAGTCACAGAATAAGGCAGAGAACGTTATTTCAAGCTTTCTCCAAGAAGGTGAACGAGACCCCTAGATACGCGGTACCAAGAACCTGCCAACTCAGGCCCGACACTACGTCCCCGAAGAAAAAGACCCGCCCCCTCGATCCCACAAGGCCGGCGGGCCACCAGCACGCGTGCGCGGACTGCGTCAGATCCGGCGCCAGGGCGCCCGATTCCGGAAGGGACTGCACAGTTGTGGCGGCGGTTTCTGTGTTGCAGGCTAGCGTCTCTTGTCTGCTGGAGCGGCGGGTCACCCAGCGGCATCATGGTCGAGGTAAAGTGGCACTTGGGCGCTGAGGGGTCGTTCGCTTCTGGAATGTTTTTCTTCGGCGGCAGGCGTGGGAGACCAAAGGTGTTCGGAGTTTGGAGAGGGTAGAGGCTGCGAAAGGAGGCTCTCTGGCTGAGGCCGGGTAGTCTCTTCTTAAGGTGTTCAGGGATAGAGGGAAGCCGGATGGGAGCATTAGTTGGAGGTTACCCTCAGGCATGAAGCCGGAGAGAATTCTTACTGCCGTTTTACTCTTGAGCCTTTGAGCTTGGCAGTGTCCCCGGAGGCGGTGCTTCTGGACCGCTGATATTCCCCATCTGCAGAATAGAGTTCGTGGTTGTGTGTCCTAAAAGATTGGCAGTATTCTCTGGTGTTCACTTAGTGCTTTCCATCAGCTCTTCCCCAGGAAAACCTGCCATTTTGAAGTTTTGCATCTTTCCCTGTCTTGAACAACCATTCTGTTAGACAGCCTTGTCCGTCTTATCTCAGAAATATTTCTTGACCCTTGTCCGTGTCCACTGCGTTCACTTTAATTCAAACCAACACCATCTTTTATCCGGACAAGAGCATTAGCTCTTTGCTGGTGTCCTTGCTTCCATTTTTGTTACACCCTCCTCCCTCCGTAAATTGATCTGTTTAAAACGCAAGTTGATCATGCTTTTTCTGCTTAAAATCCTTTACTGGCCCGATGTTACTAGAGCAAAAATGCAGACTGTTGGAATGATCTTCAAAAAACCCTTATTCTGATCTGGACCTTGCCTACCCTTGGAACCTCATCTTGGTATCACAGCCCACCTTCCTACTGAACATGTACAACTCTTGCGGCTCCTGGCATCATTGCAGATACTGAACTGCTGTGTACATGGCATTTTCTCTTTACTGAATTGTTCTTAACTCTTCTGCACAGAGCTAACTCTCTACTTAACTGACATCTCAGAGAGGATTTTTTAAAAATATAATTTATTGACAGATTGGTTTCCATACAACACCCACCGCTCATCCCAACAAGTGCCCTCCTCAGTGCCCTCTTTGCCCTCTCCCCCACTCTCCATCAACTCTCAGTTTGTTCTCAATATCCAAGAGTCTCTTATGGTTTGCCTCCCTCCCTCTCTGTAACTTTTTAGAGAGATTTTTCATAACTATCCTAAGTTCTTTCTGTGTCTCATGCCCTTGCTTGTTTCCTTCATAGCACTTATCAAAATGTGTTGCTTATTTTTATCTGTTTTCTCTTGAGCACCTGGACCATGACTGTCTTTTCATCATTCTTTTGTTAGCGTCTAGCACAGAACCTGCCAGACACATAGTAGGAGCTCAGTAGATATTTACTGAATAAATGACCAAGCTCAGGCATCACTAGTTGGTATGGGTGGGTCTCTGGCCAATGAAGAGCTTCCTCTTCTTCTCAACTTGACTCCTATAGCTTGCTACAAATAGCCATGGTGAGTGGTAGAAAGCAGTTTACATATTTAAACTTGTAAAGTGTATAACTAATTTGAATTTAATTTAGGTTATGATATGTGTAATTTGCAGATGGATATGTGATTATAATCTTTCTTTCTAGGAGGTGCAGAAACATTCTGTGCACACACTTGTGTTCAGGTCACTGAAGAGAACCCATGACATGTTTGTAGCTGATAATGGAAAACCTGTGCCTTTGGATGAAGAGAGTCACAAACGGAAAATGGCAATCAAGCTGCGTAATGAGTATGGTCCTGTGTTGCATATGCCTACTTCAAAAGAAAATTTTAAAGAGAAATATCCTCAGAATGCATCGGATTCCTATGGTCATAAACAATATCCTGCCAATCAAGGACAAGAAGTTGAATATTTGGTGACAGGTACACATCCATATCCACCAGGACCTG